GTTTCTGCTGCTGCTGCTGCTGTTCCCGCTGCTGCTGCTGCTGTTCCTGCTGCTGCTGCTACTGCTGCTGGAACAGGGGCAGGAGACAGTTTGGTGGTTTTTGTCTCCTTTTGTCTCTTTTGCTGTCTCCGCAGGGATGCACGAAATGCTACAGTATTTAAAGGGCCTCCTTTATCTATTTTGGACTGTATAGGCACCTGAGGTGTATACGCACCTCAGGTGTATACGCACCTCAGGTGTATAGGCAGCTGAGGTGTATACGCACCTCAGGTGTATAGGCAGCTGAGGTGTATACGCACCTCAGGTGTATACGCACCTCAGGTGTATACGCACCTCAGGTGTATAGGCAGCTGAGGTGTATAGGCACCTCAGGTGTATAGGCACCTCACAGGTGTATAGGCACCTCAGGTGTATAGGCAGCTGAGGTGTATAGGCACCTCAGGTGTATAGGCAGCTGAGGTGTATACGCACCTCACACCTCAGGTGTATAGGCACCTCAGGTGTATAGGCAGCTGAGGTGTATAGGCACCTCAGCTGTATAGGCACCTCACAGGTGTATATGCAGCTGAGGTGTATAGGCAGCTGAGGTGTATAGGCAGCTGAGGTGTATAGGCATCTCAGGTGTATAGGCAGCTGAGGTGTATAGGCAGCTGAGGTGTATAGGCACCTCAAGTGCATAGGCAGCTGAGGTGTATAGGCACCTCAGGGTTTAGGGTTTAGGGTGTATAGGCAGCTGAGGTGTACATACACCAGAGATAAGCTCATGCTGCTGGGGCCCCGCGGGGGCCCCTGGGGTGTACGTACACCTCACTGTCTCCGTTGCAGCAGGAGACAGACTGTTGCTGTCTCCTGCTTTGTCTCTCTTTGCTGTCTCCTTTTGGATTATAAACGATTCCTTGTCTCTTGTCGCTGCTACTGCTGCTGCTGCTGCTGCTGCTGCTGCTGCTGCTGCTACTGGTTCTGCTGCTGCTGCTGCTGCTGCTTCTTTCTGAGATTCTTTGATTGGGCCTCTGGCTAGCCACTAGGGGGTTTGTTTGCGTCCCCAGGTAGCCGCAGCAAGTCCCCTAGCTAGCTAGCTAGCTAGCTAGCTGCTCGCGCTAGCCGCCCTCGTGGCTACTACCAGCTAGCCATTCTCTTGGCTAGCTAGCTGGCTGTGGTATGAGCTCGCCAGCTAGCCATAGCCCCGGCTAGCTAGCTAGCCAGCTAGCTGCCCCCGTATATATTAGCAGCTAGCCATACCCTTGGCTAGCCAGCTAGCCACTGCACTCACAGCCGCCTCACTGCTCCTACGGCCCATCGCCTCTCCACCAAGCATGTTATAGTCTTGGGGGGCTACCTAGCTAGCTAGCTAGCTAGCTAGCTAGCTAGCTGAGCTCGCTAGGCCGCCAGCTAGCTAGCCAGACCGCTAGCTAGCTATCTAGCTATCTATCCTTCGATTGGTTAATATATCCCTATATAGCTAGCCAGCTAGCTACCCGTTCTATCTACCAATATGTATACTTGAATATCTATATATATAAACACACATATAAATATAAATCTACCTATATATCTATCTATATATCTACCTATCTATCCATCTATATATATATATATATATATATATATATATATATATATACATACATATATATATNTATATATATATATATATATATATATATATATATATATATATATATATATATATATATACACATATATATAAACTCATCCGTGTCTAAACAGCAGCACATTGACCTGTGCCACCTGCATATACACCAGGCCTTGTGCTTGATGCGTAATAAAAGCCCCAAAATGTTTGCCTGCTATTGCATGCCATGTGCCGCTGCATGCAGTCTCCATTTGTGTTTTTATATAGAGAGCCAGCTCCTGCCAGTGTTTTATATCGTTGTTTAAGAGAGATATATAACCTTTTGCTGCTGCTGCTGCTGCTGCTCCTATCACATCCTCTGATGCATCTGCTGCTAATACACGCACTGATGCTGCTGCTCCTGCTGCTGCTCCTGCTGCTGCTGCTATGGGGTCTAGGCCTCTGCTACTTTGTGTCACTGTCTCCTTCTGTCTGTCTCCCTG